GGTCTCGAAAAGCGCTATATAAATCCAATCCATTATTATTATTAAAATCCTATTAGAGCAAAAGAACACAGAGTAACTGATGAAATGTAAATGGATTTAAAGTCCCTGTTTTGCATAATAATCTTTTTCAAATGGTATCATTACTGTATTAGTTCAGGTACTATTAACAAAGTACCTAAACAATACTATATTAGTGCTGTTCAAGAGGCTGGTCATGGTGTAATGATGTGGGGGATCCTTTCTTGACACACTTTGGGTCCATTTGTTCTGAATGAACATTTTTTGTATACCACAGCCTGCCTGAGTACTAGTTCTGATTATGTCCATCTCTTTATGACCACAGTACCTATCTTTTGATGGCTGCATCTAGCAGGATAATGCTGAATGTCACAAAGCTCAAATCATCTCAAAGTGATTTCTTTCTTGAACATGACAGTGAGTTCACTGCACTTAAATGGCCTCCACTGTCACAAGCCTCAATCCAGCAGCGCACCTTTGTGCAACTGTGTGAAGCTATCAAGCTAATATGGACCAGAATCTCTCAGGAATGTTTCCAGCAGCTGGAAAATCAAAATGATTTCTCAGAAGTAAGGCAGCTCTGAAGGCATAAGAGCGTAAAACCTGGCATTAGCAAGGTGTACCTAATAAAGGTCGAACTTATATAAAAGACTGTTTCTCTAAAATCACTGGCTATGAGGTGACTCAAGATAAAATCGCCTCCCAGTGTTTTAAACTTAAACAAAAGGAAAGCTGTACTAAAGTAAACAGGGAGTCGGTATTGCTCATGAAGTCAAGTTTTCAAGTCAAAAGTTGGACATGGGATTTAAAGTTATCTGGTTCAGGCATCCCAGTATAGCTCACTGGTTGAGCATGTGGCCTCATGCATTTCTTATCCCCCTCTCTCTCCCCTCCTGAATGTCGTACTATCAAATAAAGGCAAAAATGCCCCAAAGAGCTTTTTTTTTTTCAATCCAGTGAATGTGTAACCAAAATTAACTGTAATACAAAATAAAAATAGTCACATGCCTAAGTGTCTTGCATATACCAGCAATATAAAATACCCCTCTCTTCATGAGAGAGCAGCATGTCCATCAGTCTAACCCTCAGTCTAAAATGTAGGTTTTGTCTTTGGAGCCATTCACACATTGTATGTTTTTGTAAGTATGACCATGTTGAATCTGTAGGCTGAGATTCTGGATGTTTATCCATTATTACGCTGACTTGACTAGTGTGGCACACTATTGCAGTGGTTAGCATTGCCTCACAGCCAGTTTGCTGTGCAGAGTTTGCATGTTCTCCCTGTGGCTGTGTGGGTGTCCTGCTGTTACCCAGGTTTCCACCCACAATCAAAACATGTATGTTAAGTTAATTGGCGATTCCAAAGTAGCCATAGATGCAGATGTGAGAGAGTGTGGTTGTGTGTTCCTCTGTGTTAGCTCTGTGATGAACTGGCAACCTGTCAAAGTTGCCTTTTGCTGTATTTCAGCTGACATATAGACTCAGCACGACTCCTTAGCTTAACCACCCCATGTGATTGTTGTACATTAATTGGTTAATTATTTTTTTGAGTAGGAGGGGGGAAAACACAGATAACTGAGATCCCTTGATAAGATTAAATGATTACTTTTTCTTAAGATGATTCATAACCAGCATATACAGGAATACAGTTTCCTGGTTTATATTTGAGTGGAAACTCCTAAAGAAAGGCATCCGTTCGCAAACCCGTCTGGTGGGCTGGATTGAACGTATTTGTTTCTTTTTGACGATACCGGCTTAGGTCATTTGTAAATTTGTGGCTTTTTGTTGTAAACTGTATATATTTGAGGTTTTGGACCGTTAAACAGACAGCGAACAGCACACAGACAGCAGTTGTAAACATCAGCCTGGGCTCTGGGAAATGTAGTTGTTGACATTTTACAGTATTTTATGATCTTTTGTAGAATAAATCAGTTAATTAAGGTTACTTAACAGCTCTTTGACCCTTTGCAGGCAAAGTTTATATAGTGGATTTGTAAGTAGCACAGAAACTTTCAGTGAACTAAGACCTTCTTGCTCATAACAGCTAAATTGGCTCTGGTGGAAACACATAATAGCAGGTTACAGTATAAAACAATAATTAATTCAACTCTCGTTAAACCCAGTTGTCATTTAAATCATTACAAAACCTACCTGGTAAAATAACTCTTCATCCCAGATACAGTGTTATTCAGTGCCAGCACAGGTGGTTTAGCCATTCACTGTGAATCGGCACGTTTCCCAACTGAGTTATTGCACAGCACAATCTTCGAGACAGTGTGTTGCCATATAGGCGATACCCTGTCTTTGTGATGAATTACTGCTCTTAGTTGGGGAGAGAGCCAGTGTCTTCCCAGTCCACACTGATAATTTATAATATCTTTCCCACTGGGAATCTCTGCGCTCCATGGATTTTACTCGCTGCAGTTCCAGTTTATTTGATTACGTATTTGTATCTTTTACATTGTCAGGTTTGATAGTAAATGGTAAATGGACTGATTCTTATATAGCGCTTTTCTACTCTCCCGGAGTACTCAAAGCGCTCTATACAACATGCCACATTCACCCAGTCACACCCATTCTCACAAGCACTTTATCTATACTTTAGTGCTTTTTCTAACTACATTTACACACATTCATACTCCGATGGATGCATCGGAGAGCAACTTGGGGTTAGTATCTTGCCCAAGGATACTTGGCACGCAGACTGGAGGAGCCTGGGATCGAACCTCCAACCTTCCGATCAGTAGGTGACCTGCTCTACCTCCTGAGCTACAGCCACCCTATAGTTGTCTTGAAGTAACAAGACAACCATATTAGAAGTGAAATATCAAAACTGTCCACCAGCAAGCTGCTGTATGAGCATTAAGTGTCTGATTTATGCTGTCTGACAGGGGGATCGTGGTCCTCGTGGCCCTCCAGGACGATCTGGGACTGCAGGGCGAGATGGGGACAATGGGGAAGATGGTCAGCCGGGGTCACCTGGTGTTCCTGGATCACAGGTAGGCATATTCTATTTATGTTAACTGTTAAACAACACGCAGAGTATGGGTGAGTTTGACACAGATAGTAAACTAGTGTATGTTGAGTGTTTTCTGTTGAAACCTTCAGGGCCCGTGGGGATACAGGGGGGAGCGAGGACCTAAAGGGGAAAAAGGTGATGAGGTGAGTAATAAAACAGCACAGACATTTTTGATGGAACACAATCTGTGTGTTGTTTAAACATTTGATTTACTGTTGTGAAATTATGTGTATGTATTGGCAGGAACATGTTTAGACTCTGTGCAGTCTTACTGTCACCTTTTAGCTTTAGTTAATATTTGCTGTCACTGTAGTTCAGATTCCAGCAGCTTGTATAATTGAAGCTTATTATGTTTTTGTGTCAGTGGCAGTGATGGCTTCTTTTTTAGAAATGTTTTCACGGTCAGTGTTTTTAAGTGTTAACAGAAGAAGCTCAAATTCTCAATTCTTATACTTTTAATCCACATTTAATTAGTTTTTTTAAAGCACCTTCTGCTCAAAGGGGAAAACATTTATTTTGAAACATGTTAATTATGGGAAATTAATTGATGTTCATGCATAAAGAAAAAAATATTTAAATGATGGATGTGTTTTTTGCTAATGTCTCCAGGGTCTTACTGGCCCAAGAGGTCCAAGAGGTGAAATTGGTGAACCTGGCGAGAAGGTACTCTTTGATTAATTGTATTTATTTTTTGATAAATCTTAAATATATAAATTAGAATTACTTTTTGTAAAGATTGCACACTGGGTTTATGGATTGCTCTGGGTCAACAGTGGTGTCAATAGTGGTCAGAGGAGGGGTAGACAATAATCCAGTGGCAGGATGTTGGGTGCTCCTGTGCTAGATACCACCTAGAGGTCTTGCAGAGTCCATGTTTTTTGTTTAGTTAAAGCCATTTTGTTTGGACCAAGTATATTAGACAGTGGTCATAATGCTTTGTGGGTTATGTGGATATAAAGATATCTGTTTTCAAATTTCTCTCCTTGTGTAGGGCGGAGCTGGTTTACCTGGTCCACAAGGCCCTGTTGGACCCCGCGTGAGTGTCTTTTATGGTTTGCTTTATATGTGCAAAAAACTAGAAATTTCAGTTGTTGTTTTTTGTGCATGATATTTATAACTCCTTTAAAGAAAAAAAAAAAGGTGGATCATGAACCAGGAGCAGTTTTCCCTTTATCTCTTTTACAAAGCAGCTCATACTCTGTAGTCAACTGGACAAGATGCCAGCGCATACATTCAAAATTAAAAATGTAAAAGTATGACAGATCTTATGCAATAGATTTCTTATTACACCCAACTAGTGAAAAATAAAATATTCAAAAAACTTTGTTAAAAAAGGACATGCGCTCTGTAATCTATCTTAATCTCTAATTCAGGCACCCTTTGAACTTTCAGTTTCAAACAATGAGGCATTCACTTGTGCTTTACTCGTTGGTCCATCAGTGATTTTACTTTGATTCTGCCTGGCAAGAAAATGGAGTCCCTGACTAAGCTTTAGTGTCATTAATCCTCTCTTTGTATGCACTCTTCCCCATGTACTTTAATGATATACTGCTATTAAGCTGACATCTTTAATCTTTTCTGCAGGGGCCTCAGGGGATCCGAGGTGGCGCTGGGCCAGAGGGACCCCCTGGGCCTGATGTGAGTGAGCCTCTGTCTGACTCTAGTTCTTAGAGCCTTAAAAGCAAATAGTCCTGTTTTTAGTTTGTGCATTGCACTGTCATAAATGAGGATAACAATACCTGCATTATTTTTTTTGTCTTTTTTTTTTGGGTTATCCTATTTTTGCGACTTATTGCTGCTATTTATTGTGGTGATCTGTTCATTGAAAGGATTAAACTACAAGTGCCAAACTACAAGGGCACAGTAGTTATGTCAAGCAAAACAGATGGAATTTGTACTAAAACCAAATTGCGAATTAAACAGATTTTCTTTTGTTTGTGTTTTTCTATAATTAAAGGTTTCATTTTACTTAAAGCCAAATTAGGGGCAAGTGTTGATGCCTGTTTTTTTTTCTCTATTCTTAAATGTATTAAAATGTTTTATTCTTTGTCTGTTATTCATGCTGTTTTGTGCTTATTACCAGGGGGAGAGTGGACTGGATGGCCTCCCAGGTCTGCCAGGGCCACCGGTAAGCAGGCGGTATTCAGTGATTAATTCTTAGTCTGTCTGTGCAAATTCCAGATGTACCTGCAATCATGTATGTGTATGTCTCTGTGTGTCACAGGGTGCACCAGGTGCCACAGGACGAGTTGGTGCACAAGGAGTTAATGGCTCAAGGGTACAGTCACACCTCAAGTCTTTATTTTGGCTCAGTTTGCCTGCAACTTAAAGATGATTTCCTCATGAGGCTGAAACTAATAACCACTTTGAAAAATATATATTTCTCTCTGTCTGTTTGAATTTAGAAACACATATATACAATACTCAATTTGTAATGAAATTACCAAAAAAAACCAAACAAAACATTCCCTAAACTGTATTTTAAGGATTTAATCACTTCTCAAATTTACAGTATAAGCAATTTTCAATAAATGTTTTATTTAAAAGAAGTTAAGTTAATATTTTGCAAAGACAACAAAGTTAGGTATCATTTGTGTCACACTGGGGAAAACAGTGGTTGGAGAATACAGCATGAAAAAAACAAATATTGTGACCATGCAGAATGAACTTTGTTGCTCTGAAGACAAGAACCAGGTCTGCAGCCACTTACAGTGAGTTGCCATCTTCCAAATACCTTTGATTCATGGCGATAAAAAGCAACAATATGCAGTCAGTCTGCTGTCAGTATGTGATCACAGTTGCTTGAAGACAGGTTACCTCAAACCAGGCGACCTGTACGATTGCCGTGTGATCAACAGTAGTCACCTAGAGGTTGAGGATGTTGCACAGTTTGTTGGGAACAAATTGGTTGCTGCAGCTGCTGTCGATCACCAAATGTCCTGTTTTTATTCTAGTGTGACTGCGCTATTAGAGAAATGTCCCCCTACTCCAGCAATCTGTCTTTGCAGAAATCATGACCCAGTTCTCAAAAAATATCTCCATAGTTTGTTGTGAGCAGTTTCATGTAGGGACATTTTTCTTTCCACTGAACCAGACCCAGCAACTGTTTCCTCTGTGTAAAAGAACATCATGGCTAGAGCCTCATGTTTGTGTCAGCATGACAGGCTGTAAACACTGATGGTACTCCCCTCACTTGATGATGCAGTGTTTTGGATTATTGGACGTAAACTGCAGAAAGAAAACTGACATTTCTGCTGATTTTCACCCATTTTTTTAGGTTATTTTGCTAGGGCTGGGTGGTTGAAGGAGTTAGAGTTATAAAGGGATGTCACTTTGAGTACCACATGGCAACTGCTGTATACATAATAGATGTTTTCAACAGAAGGCAGACATCTCTACAGCCAACCCCAAAAATGTGGGTTGTGACACTAAAACAGTTTAGATGGAGATAATTAGAGCACAGTATCCAAATATGTAACAATAATTTGGAATGAAATGTTCCTCTGTAATAAAGGAAATGTAAATGTACTGATCTGATGCTTTATGTGTGACGTCAGTCTAAGCCCAGACTTAGTTAACAGGTTGCATCCCGCCTGTGTGTGAACTCTTTATTTCTTTTAGGGGGACATTGGACCTGCTGGCAGTGTTGGCCTTAAAGGCCCACAGGTATAAGCTTTGCTTGGTTATGTATATGCTGCAGATAATCAGCTGTTTGGAAATGTTTAGACACTGTGTTTGACATAAAATGTTTCACCTGCCTTTGCTTTTGTGTAGGGGCCTCCAGGTCTCGAGGGACAGATTGGACCTCCGGGACTCCGAGGACCGCAAGTGAGTAGAGTTCAAGGCAAGACTGTTGATGGAAGCTTTTAAGTTCAGTTGAGTTGCTACTCCTTTCACTCAGCTGTCAATGAAATGAAGTACAAGAGGTTAATGCCAGTCTGTCCATTTTAACAGGGGCATCTAGGATTGACGGGTTCTCCTGGCCCCAAAGGAGATCCTGTAAGTTTGTTCACTTTTTCTCGTTTGGTATTTTCGATTTAATAATTTATCTGAAAAAAAAAAGAAGTTAAGTACCAGTGTATTAAAGGGGTATTTCATTGTTTTTGTTGATTGTCTTTCCTTTAGTCTTAACCCTTAGTAATGCCATAAGGGTTGATAAAACAGGGTCAATGTTTTTTTCATATGTGTCTCTTCTTAGTGTAATTGTGTGAGAGAGAAACATGGGAGGAAGAGATGAAAGAATGGAGAGGCCAAAGCTGAAAACTATTTGGTTTCATAAGTGACATCATTATTAGCTTTAATTCATATATAGCCAATAGCTCTTTTTTTATATAACATATTAGGCTGTTTAAAGGGAAAATGCATTAATTTTATCTCGCAATGACAATGCAGTTGATTATATTACTCCTAGATGTCTATATAATGTCTGTGTACAACACAAGAAAGTGTGGCAGTGAACCTCATGTGCACATCCCAGTTCTGCACAGGATACATTTTTGTTTTCTTTGATCTTCTACAAGGTGTGATTAAAACATTCTGCTCCATAACCAGACCAGCTCCATAAAAATCAAAAACCTATCCGATTTTAATTTGTCCAATTTCACGTTCATGGTCATCTTCTCATGCACATCTGGACGTTCATTTATTTAGATCTCTCAGTAGAGCTCCAGCATGGCCCCTTAAGGGGCTAAACCTCCTCCAGGGTGTATGATGTAGCAGATTACAGAGAGCCAAACGTGGGGAGTGGTGGTGAACAAAGACAGTGTTTGTGTGGACAAAAAGCTTCAACGTTTTTTTAATGTGCTCTGAGCCGGTGAGAGATGGCAAGCTGGAATGCACTGGTATCCCATCAAATGCCTCAAGTCATTGCAGTAGATAGAATGCTGACAGCATCACTCTGTGGGAAGAATTCCTGGTGCACAATCAGATAGATGCTGAAAAAAGTTATGAACATGCTCCTTGTCTCGCCTCTCACCTAACACTCTGCCTTTGGGTTGGAAAGTAGTGTTGACTCTTCATGTAAAAACTGCTTGGTTGTAGCTGGAGGTTCCCATAACCTACAAAGATCCTTACATGAAATTCTGTCAGTGTGAAACAGAAGTTGACGTTTTCTCTGTTCAAGTTTGAGGCCCATGTTGAAATCACAGAGCACGAAATCCAAGTTGTCAGAAAAGAACATCCAAAGAAATGATCCGCATGTTTGATTTGGGAGCCCTTCTTATTTATCTGGGCTTGGGACTGGCACTAGGCATACATTGCCTTGCGACCCCACCCCCATGGCCGGATTAGGGAATAATCTGAAAGATTGTCACGCTGAAAGCTGACTGGACATGATGACTAAGAGATGACCTTGAATGTGAGATGAGCCAAATTTTGATCAGGAAAGATTTTTATATTTTTAGGGGTCTGTTTTGTGAGTCTCTTTTTGGAGCGCTCCCCTTGAGGTGTGTCATAAAGATCCTTCACGGTAGGGAAGAGCAAATGATTTCCAGGTGATGGGAGGAGAGAGGTCTCTAGGAAAGATAAGTTAGCAGCAGACACCTGGTGCTTTTCATTTTGTTTTCAGCTTTTCATCGTGAGAAACAAACCAACTACTTCATTTTTATCTGTTAAGTCTTACGTTTGGTGGGAGTCTCCAACTGTTTTGCAGTTTAATTTCAAGCGTTTTAGATATGTTTTTTAGTTGATATCATATTAAAACAGCATGCAATATATAGTTTCTATGTATGCTTAACGTGCATGATGATAAGTTTACAATAGTGTACAAACAATCACAGAAAAAAACCCTGAATTTTAATGTTTTCTGTTTCCTTTTTATGTCAGGGGCCTGTGGGGCCAGTGGGGGCCCGGGGGGATCCCGGCTCAGAGGGACCTATGGTGAGCAAACACTGTTCAGGCCATTACATCATTACATTACAGTTATAAACCTGCATGTATAAATACTGTGTGAGCAGACAGAATGTTACAAAGAGATCACTGCGTTCACTCTCAGTTGTTTGTGGTGCTTTTCTTTTCTTTTTTCCTGTAACTTTTGTCATCACAGCAGGTCTACTTCACAGTTTACACTTGCAGCTTATAAAAAGTGTTTTTCATGGGTTCTCTAAAAGTGCTACAGAGAGGGAAAACAATGCTGCAGCCTCACAGTGCCATCTACTGGCTGTGATGGCTCATTACTGGATCCTGCTTATTAGCTCTTCTCATTCTTTTCATTTAAACGTCGCCATCTTCTGATTGTATAAAACTATGTTCTTAGCAGTAAAATGCTTCTGAATCATTGACTAATGTGATTTGTGTGGTATAATTTTACATTCCCCACATTAAAACAATAAAAGTTTCTTTTTCTTTTCCTTTTTTTTTTAAATTGACAGGGTGCACCAGGGAGAAAGGGTGATGTGGGTTTTCCTGGAAGAACGGTAGGTGCTCTTGATGAACATATTTACAGCACAACATGCTCGACTGAGCCTTTCCTTTAAACAATTTTCCCTCACAGGGTAACAGAGGACCAGACGGGGAAAAGGGTGATCCAGGAGCTAAAGGCGACAGAGTATGAACTTGAAACTTTGTTTGTTGACACTGACAGACTGATAAAGCCTGTAATGATGTGCCTTCCTTGTCTGTAAAGTTTGTTTTTAACTAATGATCATTTTTTGAAATTAGTTTGAACTGTACGGCAGATACAGTGCAAATGAAAAAGTTACACCTATAAAAGGCAAAACTCTGCGGCCCTTTCTGGTCCCCTCCACAGAGTTACTATTCTGACCATTTACATTATTTCTCTAGTCTTTTGATATGTTTTGTCACGTCGGCTTATAGATTTCAGCAGATGTAAGTTGTCTCACTCAGACAGCTGCCGTATGCTCGTCTGTGCCCGGTGCCACCCTCTATTACACTGATCCCATCTAATAGCACCGTGACTGTCACATTATCACTTCTCATATTAGCCGTGATTAAAAATTCATTGCCAGCAGCTGTTTATTGCATTTTTTTTTCACCGGGAACCCTAATAATATGAGAACTTTTGGGACGTTTGTCATGTTAGCGGTAAAACCTCACATGTGTGCTTCCTAGGGATAGATGACATTCACTCAAAGACATTGAGGCTTTTATCATTTTGCTTCTAATTTATGTCAGATTAATTTGTGGTATCTGGAAAGAACCCATCACACTCAGCCAGTGTGCTTCCAAAAATGTCAAAGGTCTCCTATAACATCTCATTTGCTGTAAAGTCAGTGTGTGAGTGAGAAAAAAGATCAAGATTTAATAACAAGCTGAACTTTTTTTTTCAGGGTATTCAGGGGGCAACAGGCATTAGCGGTCCTCAGGGCGAGAGGGGCCTCGTTGGATTCCCTGGTTTCCCAGGAGCCAAAGGCCAGCCCGGCCCTAAAGGCACTGAGGTATAGTGTGTAGCACTGTGGTTAAACCTATTCATGGAGATCCCAGTGTGATACAGAAGCTGTGCACAAATTCAGCTCCGGCAGAAAAGTCAGTCCTGAGTTTCAACAATCTCGAGTTAACCTCCAGAAAAATAAACTTTTTCATGCTACAGTTCAAAAGACTCATAATAAACACAATAAACTATGCGGCATGGTGTTTGCCACAGCTTAATATTGTATAACATGCTCTTTTATCTGGAAGCATGCCTTTTGAGAATGAAAAAATGACATGCGCTTCACTGACTTTTATATATTTTCCACTCAGGGCATCGATGGCGAAACTGGCCTCCAGGGAAAACAGGGCAGCCGTGGGTTAAAGGTCAGTGATGATTTATGTGTCTGAACACCACAAAATGTCAGATGACTTCATATGTTGTTCCAAATGTCCAATTTAACTACGTAACAGAACTTCCAGTGACCTCCTGAATGTAAATTTGGTGTCAAATGCTCACATCCTTCAGTCCACACAATCAGTCACTAATGTAGTTTCACCACCATATAACAGCATAGCTAACGATAAACAGAAATATGACTTATTTCTGTTCTTGTCTTTTTTTTTTCTTTTTTGTGTAATAAAAATATAATCTGTGATTTTAATATGATTTAGATACAATTGCCACAATGCTGACATTGTGGACAGCTGATTGAGATGATTGAGTCATTGTAGTCACTAATATCTTTAAAGGGAAACAGAGGACCAGATGGACGTGATGGCAAACCAGGACCCAGGGGGAACAAGGTATTGAACTCCTAAAGATGTTTGAATACACACTTTTTTTGTTATCAAGTTCATATATATGTCAATATTAATTCATTAATATTAATCTGTTCCTTTTGTTTTCCCCAGGGTTTGACCGGACAAAGAGGTCATCCTGGCCAACCAGGCCCACCGGTAAACTTATATTGTAGCTTTGGTTAGAGTAAGATTTGGCAGCTGGGGGGACGCTAAGATCTGGTGTAGCATTTCAGGGTAGGGAAAAGAATCACTTGGAAGTAAGGCATGTAAAAATTTATATTTATATTTATATTTCATTTCAATTTCAGTTTTATTTTATAGCGCCAAATCACAACTACAGCGAACAAGGTGCTTTATATTGTAAGGTAAAGACCCTACAGCTGACATGTGCTGCTGCTATTGTGCTGTGAGGGTTACAGGTGTTGTGGAGTTACCTTTAACCTTTAAATAAATAAATATGATGTTAAATATGACTGTGGTGGGATTGAGACACGGCGGGTCCATAGATTGGTGTTCAGAGCTATCTTTATTTTACTCGACTGCGGCTGGCAGCCACACACATCACACCACGTTCACAACTTTTACAACTCTCTCCCCAAACTCCGATTCCCCGTGTTTAATAGGGCGGGCGTGATTGCAGATGCCGTGCAGGTGTGTCTGCACAGCACCGCAGTCCACGCCCCACCACAATGACAAACCTGAACAAACTTCAATTTGTTTCCAAGTCATTTCATAAATAAAAAAAAAATCTTTAGCAACACATCACATAAAGATCCACTATCTTATTAAAAGAAAATCTAGCATGATTAAGAAGCTTTAAATTTAGGTTTTTAAAACCTGAACAGTCCTTTTGACATGAGCTTCTTTACGTTTAGCTTGCACACTCATTGTGGTGCAAACTGGACAGATATTTTTTCAAATATTCAAATAGTTTATTTTAGCTCCGCGTTGGTTTTGCTAGCCAGAGAACTCGGCTAGGATGGGATCATTTTCTGAGTACTGACCAAGTATGCTGTCAGCTGGAGGCACCTCCAAGCTGCAGCAATCAAAAAATTAATTCTCTTGACAGTATTATGTATTAAACTGCTTGTCAGATTTGATTATTCAAAACTGCAAATGCCAGAATGCAGTTCCAGGTCATTCTGGTTCACTTTAACCCTGGGTTAAATGTTCAAATTGCAAAAATAAATAAATAACTAAATGAATAAATTGTATATTTATTACAAATATAAGCCCTCAGTAGCTACATAGAGTTGCAGTTGATATGTTTATAAACTATATATTTATCATATAATCTGTATCTAAATTTCATTACAGTCCTCCATACAAGAATTGATTTACATTATTTTAAAAAGTTTTAGCATTAGAGGATTGCTGAATTTAATTAGTCAAATATACCTATACAGTAAACACATATTCTTTTGTACTGTTCAGTAATATCCGGCTGAGCTACAGCTTGCGTTTGTGAGTCTGTATGTGTTTCTCTCCATCTCCTTTCAGGGTTTGCCGGGGCCACCTGGAACAGAGGGAGCAGAAGGAAAGCCTGGTACACAGGTTCCCATTCTCTATCATATTTCAATCCCATCACCTGAAAATGCTGTGTGTGTGTTTGTGTGTGTCTGCATTTCATGTACTCCTGTCTCGTTCTGTATTGCAACAGCATGTACTGTATTATTCAGTGAAATACTTAAATATATGAACTCATTTCACAAACATTTTATCACTTGGGTTTAGACCCAGTGTTGTCTTTTATAGGGAAGAGACACGACAATGCACATTGTGCACTTTACAACTGTGTGACTGCTGAATACAGATTTTAAGTAGTGATGATGGATTTGCCCTCAAACTGTCAAAACTGACTCCCAAGCTGAGGGGAAGGTGTCTAATAATTGTTGGGGTAAACAGCAGGAGGCAGTCTTTGTACAGCACGGTAGTACTGAAGGAAATAACTCCCTGTCTTGTTTGCTAATCTCTCCGACTGATCCCATGTAAAACATGTATTTGATTGTAATGTACACAAGAGCTACACAGCAACACATTTGGCTCATTATAATCAGTATTTTCTGTATTTAGTGTAACTGCTTATTTTTTCAGAAAATGTGTAGGAGTGCATGATTAACGACGCGTATAATTGAGAGACTGAACACTTGTACTTTTAATGACCTCTGCTGCCGGGAAAAATTGCATTGTTGGTATTTTCTGTCTCTGTTTCAGGGTCCCTCAGGTGCAGCTGGTGTTGCTGGTACTAAAGGACCGATGGTAAGGCCGTTAGCCGCAGGATGACCTCAGCAGTACATGACATCATTCCTTAAACCTTGCGTTGTTGGCTTTTTGCCACATCCTCCAGGGTTCAGCAGAATAAAAACACATTATTACCATTTTTACAAGGCAGCTCAGGATAAAATTACAGATGGTTCTATAAATTCATGAGAAGGCAACAAATACTTTAAAAAGTGAAGTTTTAACAAGACAGAGCAGCGCTCGCTACCGGCCCGTTAAACAAATCAGCTGTGTTGACTTAGAGTTTTCAGCGCTGCGTTGGCTGGGCTGAGTAAGTATATTCGTGTATGTATCACAAGGATAATTACACATAGTTAATGTAATAAATACTCACTCTTTTGCAAATGTTTCTGGACTCACTGAACCAATATGAGGTTGTTGGACATTTTCCAAAGCCATGGACATTACAAAAGCTTATCTTATGTAAAGTGGGATAGACCTGAGATTAACTTTTCAGCGTGACTTGGAGCACAGGATACCTTTGATTGTCATGTGATCTGGTAAATATGTTATTGGGTAACCTTAAAGCTTCAAAGCAATTTGTGATGACCAAGTTGCTTCTAGTGTGTCAGTCAATAGAAATAGAAAACATTCAGTCTGTATTCTATTTAGTCTCAAAGACACCTGAAGTATAAACTGTATGTAAGCAGACATCAACTCTGAAAAGTCAATGTGGAAGAGCCTTCAACATGCATTCTTTCTAATGGTCAGCAGGGGGCAAATCTGGCTGGAAAAAAGGGGGGCAGATAATATAAAAGTATATGCTGCTCACTTTATGACCTCATTAATCAGTTTCCTCATGAGTTTACAGTCTCAGTTAGGGCTGTGCATATAACTGTGTATAGGCAATAACAATGTCTTAAAATTAAACGATAATTTTTTGTGTCTGTAATTCACACAACTGCTTTTTTGCTTTTGAACACTCATGATTTTTTCTTGGACTTTTGTTTTTATTATTTAATTAAAAATAAACACTATAAAATGAAGTTATAAATAAATTTAGCTGATGGTATTTTTTTATACATAGTGCAACAATAATCATGAGGTGAAAATGTAATTTAATATTGTGAAAGCCCAGTCTCAGTCACTGGTTTTAAGTTTTCGTCAAGGCAGAACGTCATGAAAAATTATGAAGCATAATTTCCCTCATGTTACATTTGCCTTGGGGAAAACCTGGAAAACCTAAATTTTTGTTCATGCCTAACAAAATTATTGTGAGAGTGTCCAATGAACATTTTTGTTGCCTCTGAAATGGTTGTTTCAAAGACAGGTACCAGGTCTTCAACCACTCATTGTCAGTTGTCTTCTTTGAAATGAGCTTGGTGGTGCACACGATGATAAATCAGCAGTGAGATGGAGCCAGTCTGCTGTCAATTTGCTATCAGTATGTGAATGAATGGGGTCAACTTAGCAATTACATGCAATCTGTATAAGATAAAAAGGCCAAAAAACATGTATTGTGATCTACATACACAAACAGAAGGATGCTGTGGGATGGCGATTTAACAGCAAAATTGCACATGTGCACATACACTCTACAACCTTATTTTTATGAAGGACTATAAAGAGAATACAAACAGCTGGCAACCAGTTAAGTCATCCCCTATTGCAAAGCAGTGCATACACTGGAAACTGGTGTTGGCAGTCTGTCTACATTTATAAATTAGAGGATGATTATTTGCAAACCGGGCAGCATGGTGGCACGGTGCTTAACACTGTTGCCTCACAGCAAGAAGGTCATGAGTTCAGTTCCACCATCAGGGAGAGGTCTTTTTCTGTGGAGTTTGAATGTTCTCCTCGTGTTTGCTTGGGTTCTCCCCAGGTACTCTGGCTTCCTCCCACTGTCCAAAGACATGCAGTTAGTGGGGATAGGTAATTAGAAACTCTAAATTGCCCATAGGTGTAAATGTGAGTGTGAATGGTTGTCTGTGTCTATGTGTTAGTCCTGCGACAGACTGGCGACCTGTCCAGGGTGTACCCTGCCTCTTGCCCTAAGACAGCTGGGATAGGCTCCAGCACCCCCCACGACCCTGAAAAGGAGAGAAAAGCAAGTGTATGAGAAGAATTTTCCCCAAACCTTTCCTACAAAATTAGAATTGTCTAAAATGTTTGTACTGTACTTATCTTAAATGTACTTTAAGATACGATTTTCCTCGCACAAGAAAGCTGCCAAATCAGCTGAGAAAACATGTTTTGTAATACCAGTTTCCAAGAGTCCAAATAGCAATCCTTTATTCATAATAAATGTTAGGAATCATCCCATGAATCCCTTTTAATGCAACTGCCAAGAAACAATTAAATCCTGTATTCAGCAATCATTAGCAAAATGCTGAATCAGCTGTTTTAGACTAATAGTATAACAGCTCACTGCACATTATTTTGTGTTTGCACTTTTATAGGTCATCAGTGCAGTTCTCCTTGGTTCTTTGCCCATTCTTCATTACATCTTCTCCTTCCTATTTAGGGGTTTCAAGGAATTCCTGGAGTGAGAGGAACAGATGGTGCACCAGGTTCTGCGGTATGCCTTTGTTTTTATTTCATTTTGAGAGACAGAGCACTGTACCTGTGTACCTGTGTAGAGGCTTGATAGCCTGAAAAGACTTTGTCATTGAAAGGATATAGCTCAAAAAGTGTATGACGGTATTATCTAATCCCTTGGTTTTTCATGTAAAGTGCACCTATTATTAGGGATGGGTATTGATAAGATTTTCACGATTCCGATTCCATTTTCGATTCTTTATCGATTCCCTTATCGATTCTTTTTAAAAGAGGAGAACACTAAGGTCAGCTAGCTTAGAACTTTGTTTTATATCTTCTCTTTGAACAAGATAGAAATTTTGGAGTAACGTGGCCTTACAAACCCAACAGTGAGATCTTAAGAGATCCACAGCCA